CGAGCCGCCCCTGACGGGGGCTCGGGCTCCAGCCCCCCGCCCGCCGCCCGCGGCGTCGCCCACCACCCGGCCCCGCTCCCGCCCGGCCTGGGCTCCCGGTCAGTTTCCCCCGGGGGCCTCGGGGAGCGCGTCCAGCTGGGGCAGCAACTCGCCGTAAAGCTCCGCGAAGGCCATTGTTGCGCGCTCTCCTCCGGGAAACAAGTTCTGTGGGTTTCTGCTCCCGCGGCGCACAGTCATCGGGATACACACAAACCGGTTCGGAGTCTTCCAGTAGCCTTCCCGGTGACTTTCTTACCCCGCTGCTGAGGCGCTGAGGTAGATGTGGTCACGAATGTCTCTCTCGTGTATTTGAGCCGGGGAGCGGGGGTGGTCCCTTTTGCGACTCGAAGTACCACCCTCTTAAAGAAGCCCATTCTCTGTTAACCTGGAGGTGTCTCCTCCAGACGTCTTGTTTGCTTTGATCACAGCTTGGACAATGAGTCCTTGGACGTATCTCTGTGCCCTGACGTTTCAGCCTCATGACTTAATGTCATTTTCCTGGTCCTCAACATTTTCTCTGTGGGGATGGATAGAGCGCTGTTTATGTTTGGCGTTTATGGCAGGGGACCCCTGGTAGTTGTTCCCTTTCATGCTCGCAGCAGTTGTTAATATTGATATTGTCCCACTTCACTAATGGGAAGTTTACTTTTATTTTGTCCTCAAGGTCATGTTGCAGAAAGGCAGCAAGTGGGAAAAGGACTCCACGTCTCCAGCCACTGAAATGTGCCTTCAGTAGCTAGTGTCTGATGCCCAGTTAGTGGTGGTGGTGGTGGTTCTCTTCACCCTGGAGTTAGATTGCCTGGATACAGATCTAGGTTTGACCGCTTTCTAGCTGTGACATTATTGGGCAAGTTACTCAACCTTTCTGCTTCCTCTGTAATAAGGGACTAGTAATAGTGTCTACCCGGTAAGTTTGTCCCAACAAATGGATTTATACATGTAACTGAGTATAGACGGAAATGACTTATACATGTCGAGCAGCCTGGCAGATAGAGTAAGCTTAGTAATTAGTGGTTAGTATTGACTAAATTTAATTTTTAAATGTTTAGATACCATTAGGAAGCCAGATGACTGTTTAAGCCCTGGCTGTTGGTGACTCTTTTTAGAAAGCTCTCTGTATTTGAGTCAGTTGGGCTGAAAAAAAAATGAACTGGAAATTGTTTTGATTTTTTTCAGGAGAGGGGTTGTTAAAGATTCGTTAAATGACATACATTTGCTGGAGTAATTTGTGATGGTGCCTAAGAATGTTTTGTTTAAAAGGGTGGTGAAATACAGAAAAGGCCATTAGGAGCTTAAGTAGGACTCTGCTCCTTAAGTATTTTTGGATACTACTTCCTGGATGTGATTGGCCGCCAAATCAATAACTTCAGGACCGTAGTATACTCCTGGTTGTTGTTGAAGATTGAAAGCCTTCTGTGTATTGAGATATACTTCAGCACAGATAATTTGGGAAATAGCTGTGGTCTTCGATGGGTGCTTTGGAAGCTATTGTGCACTTGAATATGTCCGGTCAGGGTGTCAGGAATATTTAACAAAATGCCATCCGCTCAGTCATACATAAGCTCACAGTCTTTTAATGCTTGCCCTGTGCTTTTCTCCATGGTTCTTGAAACCATGCTTGCCTTTCCCTTGGTATTATTTGCTTGGGACCTGGCTTGCTTTATTGCACTGGAAAAGTGTTTTTTTTTTTTTTTTTTTTTTTGTCTTTTTTTTTACTGACCGGTAACGGGATCGCAACCCTCGGTGTCGCGCCTGCACCGCGCTCAACCAGTGAGCGGGAACCGGTCTCCACAGGGGATCCGAACCCTCGGCGGGAGCGCCACCACACTCCCAAGCGGCGCACTCTCCAGTGCGCCACTGGGCCAGCCCTGGAAAAGTGTATTTTGATAGACTCGGTCTTAAGTAGAGATGAGCATCTTGCTGGTGTAACTTACTCAGGGACAGGAAGAAGATTGTTTTGGGTTTAGAAGACTTTAGCTTTTGTGTAAAGTATAGCAAAACAAAACAAACCGAAAACAAACAACTTTCTAGTTTCGTTTAACTAATTGAGAATTTGAGACAGACCATACATAGCTGGACAGAAAATGAATAGTAATAAAATTAGGTCTCAACAGGGCGAGGTTTACTTAGCTTAAGATAAATTTTTGTGTTTGTTTGGTAGAAAGATAATGTGCTTATTACAAGTAAACATCTCTTCCTTAAAACAGAGTATTTGTCAGGATCAGTATTCAGTTTATTTCTATGATAAACTTGGATCTTGCAGATTTATATTTTAGATATTTGAGAAGGCAGCCTGAGTGTATATATATAGATACAAAATTTCACAAAGTTTTGTCACACTTGAGAAGAGTAAATGATAGTGATAATTAAGCTTTTCTAATTATCTGCTCAACTAAAGTTTATTTCATGAAAAGCACAAGAGTCTGGTTTGGCCCTCATAAGTCAAGATCTGAGCCCATTGTGGGCTGAGTGGTATTAACTGCATCTGAGGATGTACTGAAAAAACAGACCTGGCCTCTTGGTTTTAAGCAACTTTCATATTTCTTTTCTTTCTTAAGAAAACTTCAAATGATTGGTTTTCAATTTACTCTAGATCAGGGGTTCTCAACTGGGGGCGATTTTGCCCCCCAGGAATCATCTGGCAACATCTGGAGACATTTCTGCTAGCCACACCTCTGGGTGTGGGCAGTGTATGTCTAGAGGGTAGAGGCCAAGGATACTGCTGCTCAACATCCTATAGAACACAGGACAGTCCCCCACCCCCACCCAGGAAAATTATCCAGCTGAAAATATCAATACTGCTAAGTTGAGAACTCCTGCTCTAGGTAGATACTAGACTGGCCTATGTTGGAATCACTTGGGACACTTTTAAGACCGTGGACTCCACCTCTGGAAATTTTTGATAATATTGAGAATTAAATTTTTTTTTTTCCTTTTTGTCTTTTTTCGTGACTGGCAACGGATCGCAACCCTCAGTGTCGCGCCCATACCGGACTGGGACCGGCAACGGGATCGCAATCCTCGGTGTTGCGCCTGCACCTCGCTCAGCCAGTGAGTGGCCGGTCTATATATGGGATCCGAACCCTTGGCAGGAGCGCCGCCACGCTCCCAAGCGGCGCACTGTAGCAGTGCGCCACCGGGCCGGCCCGAGAATTAATTTTTTTAAAAGCTTCTTGGACAATACCGAAGTCCCACTGGGTTTTGGAACCACTGTTCTAGACCATAGATTTTAGGGACTGCTTGTGAGTTTATACTTTGGGTGATCTGTGAACTCTGTAGAACCTAGATCCTGCCTTGGAGATTATTTACTAGTGGGGAGATGGTGTACATATATCATTTTTCGAGTGTGAGAAGACTGAACTTTAAAAGAAATATTAAACAAATTATAAAATAACTTAGAAATTTTCTTTCCTTTATCTCGTGAACATACATTATTATACTGTGCTGAAACTTAGTAGAATTCAGGTTTTTAGATGTTGCTTCTGTGCTGAAAAACCTCATACTGCTGTAGATTTTGAGTTTTGTATCTTTTTTTTTTTTGTCTTTTTTCGTGTCCGGCAACGGATCGCAACCCTCAGTGTCGCGCCCGTACCGGACCGAGACCGGCAACGGGATCGCAACCCTCAGCGCTGCACCCGCACCTCGCTCAGCCAGTGAGCAGGAACCGGTCTGTATGTGGGATCCGAACCCTCGGCGGGAGCGCCGCCGCACTCCCAAGCGGCGCACTGTAGCAGTGCGCCACCAGGCCGGCCCGAGTTTTGTATCTTTTGTCCTCATCTTGTCAGTCAGCTCTCAGTTCTGTTTTTAGATGCCAGCTTCAATTTTTTTTTTTTTTTTTTTAAATGAGGAACTATTCGCAGAGACTTAGTTCTGGATCAGTTTACCAGTTCTGCCCTTTGAAGGCAAGGAAAGAGGCATATAGCATGCTACCTTTTAACACAGTGACCCTGCCTACTAGTTGAGGGGACTCCTCTGTGCCCTGGACTCTGACAAATGAAGGAATGTTCTTTCCTCCTGGGGAGATGAGGTGCAGTGATAGAGAGAAGGGCAGAGATCCTTTTCTTGCCCATACTTGAAATTTAGGTTATGTAGTTTATTGAATGGAAGAATGTTAGTTTGAAAACTGTACACATTTTCATCAATTAGATGTTAATATCTGGACATATAAAAGGCAGATCATGGAGGCAGTTTCTGATTTTCATCCTGAAATTCTGCCTGTGGCTATATTGAGAACGAAAAGTGACCCCATCTACTTCTAATATTCATTTATTTGATCAGCAGAAATAGTAATTGAGTCCTTACTCTGCCGGGAACTGTATTCGGGATTCACCGATGAACAGGCCCTTAAGGACTTTCAGCCTAGAGGGAGAGGCAAGCAATTACAAAAGAGATCAGTTGGTAGAGCTTGTTAGAATTATACATGGTATAAGTAAGTAGGCTCTTAGTGATGGGCCCTAGAGGCCTCAGAGGAAAGAGCTTCTCTTTGCAGGTTGATTTGTTTAAACTGTAGGTGATTGAGATTGCTAGAAGTCTTGTAAGCAAAAGAGTAAAATAGTTATGCCTTGTTACTGGTTTGTACTAAATGGTTGTTTGACTTGCCTCCTTGGTTTGGGGTGTCTTAAAAAGCAGCTCCATTCTTCCCATGTTGGTGAAGCTGTTTTGTAATTACAAGTAGGACTGATGTTTATTGCTCCATATGTGTTGGTTGTCCCTTCATCAAACTTGAAATACTGTCTGTGGTTCCATATTTGTCAGAGGCTTGATGTAGATTCTTGCTAGAAATATTGCACATTCTTGAAATGGATGGTGTTTTGAGTGGGAATGGGTTTTTTCTGTTGCAGTGTGGATCTAGGTTGACTGGAGATTTGTTTTTGTAGCATTTTGACTTTGGCTTAGATTTAGTTGTCATGGAAGCCCCTTTTCTTCTTCCCTCTTTATTTTTAATTTTATTTTTTTTCCTGGGAGGGAGATAGTTGTCAGATGAGTACTCCATTAATTTCAGGTTTGAAAGGTTATAAACTGACCTCTGGATACCAGGTGGAATAGCTAGTTTGTGAAGAAACAAATAAAAGGGGATTTGGTAGTGTGTGAAAAGGCTTCTTACCTTTACATCTAACTGGGACATTTTCTTTTTTTTTTTTTTTCTTTTTTAAAGATGACTGGTAAGGGGATCTTAATCCTTGACTTGGTGTTAGCACCACGCTCTCCCAAGTGAGCTAACCAGCCATCCCTATATAGGGATCCGAACCTGTGGCCTTGGTGTTATCAGCACCATACTTTCCCAAGCGAGCCACATGCCAGCCCTACCTGGGACATTTTCATGTCATAGACTTGGCAAAGAACTGGCTTTACCTCGAGTAGAGGCTATTTACTGCTTGTCACTTACAAGTATTAGTGAAGACTATACAGTTGACAGAATTTAAGTAGAATTTGATAGGTTCTGAACATGTTTTTACTGATCTAAGGAGGCTCTGATTTTGTACTTCTCAGTGACTCTGGAAACTAGGGTATTTATTAGTTCCAGAATTTCTTACAGTGGGGACTTGAAATAGTTTGTATACCCCAGAGATTAACTGCCATGAAATCTGGTGGCCCAAAGGAAAGAAAAATGAAAGATTGTTTTTAGGAACATTAGAGAGCAGGACTAAAAATGCAGAGATAAGATTATGACTGAATGTTGAGTCAGACTTCGAGAAAGCTGTGTGGATTGCTAGTTGGAGTCTTGTGTTTTCTGTACCTGAATATAAATCTGAACAAGAATACTGGTGGCAGAGACACACTTTGAGAAGAGAAAGGAGAGCTTGCCTGAGAATGCACGAGACCCTAATTAGGGCAGGGTACAGCACTCGCTGAGGCGTGTTCCATGGTGACCTAGTAGTTGGTTGGTGAATCAGCCCAGATGGGGAC